GCCGGGTCGCCCTCAAACAGCCCGCCAGGAATGCGCAAATGCGCAATGCGCCAGCGCGCCGCCAGGATATCGCCCTGAAAAGAACCTGTTCACTCTGAACGCCGACTGCGCGCCTCGCTGAACCAGCGAAGTCGCGCGGCGCGCCCGCGCCGCGCACCCGCCGCAGTGAACTCGCGGGAAAAAGGCCTCTCTGCATGAGTTCTGGCACCGATTCTGGCCTACTTCGCCGTTCTGGCCGATTCTGGTTCCATCGCCGATTCCACCTTTGATTCCGTATTGATTCCGTACTGATTCTTTTGATTCCGCTAGAATCAGGGGTCGCAGTTGTGCCGATTCTGTTTTGATTCTGTACTGATTCCGTACTGATTCCTTTGATTCCCCTGTGCCCCGGAGACCATCAGGCCGCGGCCCGAGCTCCCGCCTCGGCGGCGTGGTTTTTCCAGGAGCGCGGAAGAGTTTTGAGGGGGAGGGGGGCGGCGGGGGGGGGCGGGGCGACTTTTGGGGCGCATCGGGCGGCCGAGCCACAGATTTCCGGGCCCAGTGCGCGCGCCCAACATGGCAGGCGCGGGCGCGCGCGCGAATTCTCGACCGTCGGCGCATCTGTAAGTTCATGCACCGCCCCGCGCGCGGGAATGGAAACTTGCGTTGCGGTTTCAAATTGAACGCGCGGCCGTCGCAACTGCATCGCATTGCTCAGCGCGCAAAGCGCGCGAGCAGCATGGGGGGCTTTGCGTTCTCGCATTAGAAGTGCGCGGGACCGAACCGAACGGTCGGCGGCGCCCGCTCCTGCGCGCGCGCGAGGCCATCGCGTCGGCGCGGGAGGCTACAAGGGCCTGGGCCGTCGCCCTGGGGCGCGGGCGCAGCGCGAGGCCTGCGCGGGTCTCTCGCGCCAAACATGCGCAACAAGGTCGGCCCGCCCGCCGGCTGGCGCTCGCGGGCGACGACGCCAGCGCCGACTGCGAGGCCGACTGGGCCAAGAGGATTCCTGAGAGCCCCAGGAAGGGGCAGCGGGCCGCGATGGAATCGGCGCGGTCGTTGGCGCCCCCCCCGCGCCCGCCCCCCCCTGCAAGCCGACTCCTCCTATCAAGGGGAGGCCATATCGGGGCGAGCTCGGCAACTTCGCGGAGTGCGTTTGGGCGAGGGACCCCACGCCGACCTCCAAGCTGCAGCCTCGGTGGCACGCGGCGGTGTGGCTGGGCAAGACAGAGGTCTCGGACGAGCACCTGGTGGCGGGTCCGACGCGCACGACAAGGGTACGCACGGTGAGACGGCGGCCGGAGGGTGAGCGGTTCGTGCTGGAGGAGCTGGACAAGTTCGCTGGGGTGCCGTGGGACACGCACCGAGCTCCACAGATCGGCATTGTGCCGACGGGAGCGCCCCAGGTGGAGCCGAACCAGCAGCGGCTGCTGCCGCCACCTCCGCCACCGCCAGTGGTCTTGCCAGCCGCGGGCCCGGAGGCGCTGGTGCCACCAGCGATGGTCGGGCCGGCGCCGCCCACGGGGCCAGGAGGCGCAGGGCTGAGGTCGACGTACATCACGAGAGCGCTGATCGACAAGTACGGCTGGACCCCCATGTGCCCGAGGTGCGTCACAGGCATGGGATCGCACAGCGAGGAGTGCCGGAAGAGGATCGAGAACGAGCTGCGCAAGGGGGAAATGGCCAGGGCGGCGGCGGAGGCCGCGCCCTCGTCGGCAGCGGCGGGGGCTGCGCCGACGCCGGCGGCGGCTGGAGCCGCGCCGGGGCCAGCGGCTGGAGCTGGAGACGGCAGGCCAGGATCGTCCGGGGATGCCAGCATGGCACCTCGCGATGACCAGGGCGAGGCTTCGGCGAAGAGGCCGCGCCAGACAGCGGCGATCACAGTCGGGTCGCTCGCGGTCGGGGCCTTCGTGGAGATCAATCCCTGCACGTACGAGGGCCTAGACCAGCAGTCTCACGAGGAGCTCGAGACGGTCACGGAAATCGAGAGCTGCGAGCCGCTGGAGATCGGGATGTTCGAGGTCAGCCCCGTCGAGCCGGCGGCGATCACGGTCCTGCCAGACACGGAGAAGCACGTGTACGACGCGAGGAGCGGGAAGGAGCTCCCCAGGGACCTGGTCAGGCGCGGGCGCGAGGCCGAGATCGAGGAGATGCGGCGACACGGCGTCTTCGAGGAGGTCCGCGTGGCTGAGAGCCGGGGCAAGGTGGTGCGTTTCAAGTGGGTCGAGGACCTGCGCACCAAGGACGGCGCCCCCTTTGTCCGGTCCCGAGGCGTCGCCATGGAGATCAACACGTACGGCCGAGAGGACTGCAACGCGGGCACGCCGCCGATCGCCATCGTCAGGGCGATCGTCTCCTTGGCGGCTACGAAGAAGGGTCGGAGGCATCTCTCGGTGCATGACGTGCACGTGGCGTTCTTCCACGCCGACCTCGACGAGTGGATCGTCGTCATCCCGCCTCCAGGACTCAGGAGAGACGGGTACGTGTGGCAGCTCCGGAAGGCCATGTACGGCACGCGCAAGGCGGCACAGGCTTGGCAGGAGTACGTGGCCGGGGTGTTCAAGAAGAACAACTGGACGCGCATCGCAGTGGCGGCGGGCGTGTACCACGAGCCTCTCTTGGACATGACCTCGGCGATCCACGGTGACGACATCCTGACCGAGGGCGAGGAGGAGTCCCTGGATGTCCTGGACCAGCAGCTGATGGCGAGCATGGACGTCAAGTGCATCGGTCGTGTCGGGCCGGATGGCGTCCGCGAGCTCCCGTACCTCAAGCGCAAGATCAGGTGGACAGGCAAGGGATTCGTCTGGATCGGCGACACGAAGCACGTGACGAGATGCGTGGAGCTGCTGGGCCTTACGGAGTGCAAGCCAGCGGACACGCCTGGGAGCAAGGCCACGGGCAAGAGCGTCCGGGAGGCGCTGGACCCACTTCCACACGACGAGGCGAAGCTCTACCAGCAGGTCGCGGGGCTCGTCAACTACGTGGCGGTAGACAGGCCAGACATCCAGTTCGCGGTGAAGGTGATCCTCACGGACATGGGGAAGCCCACAGTCATCAGCATGCTTAGGCTGAGGCGGTGTGTGCGGTATCTCCACGGTCGGCGCGAGCTCGGGTGGTTCTACGAGAAGCAGGAGATGCCGAAGGAGGTTCTCTACGAGACGGACTCGGACTGGGCAGAGGATGAGATCACGAGGAAATCGACCAGCTCCGTGTATGGCTTCTTCGGCAGTCACCTCCTGGAGACCCAGGTGGCATCGCAGCCCGTCGTCGCGCTCAACAGCGGAGAGGCCGAGTTCTACGCCATCGGCCGAGGCGCGGCGAGTGCGATCATGATGCGGCAGTTCTACCAGCAGTGTGGCATCGAGGTCGCGTCGAAGGTTCACAGCGACTCGAATGCGGGCAGGGCGATCGCGACACGGATCGGCAGTGGCAAGGTACGGCATCTACAGATACGAGACCTGTGGGTGCAGGAACGAGTCAGGCTCGGCGAGTTACAGCTCGGGCGAGTCGACACGGAGAGCAACAGGAGCGACTTGGGGACCAAGCATCTGGACGGCAAGCGGGTGCTCAAGTTGCTGGAGATGTCCAACCTGCGGCTTCTGACCAAGGGGCTCGCCGCAGGAGTGGGCGTCACTTTTGCAGAGGCGGCCGAGCATGGAGACAAGCAGTGCTCCGCAGCCGCCGACGACGAGGTCGAGTCGAACATCGGCTCGATCGTTCTCGCCATGATCATGTTCATCATCGTGCTGGTGCTCATGGTCAAGGGCGCAGTTGCGTGCACGAGAGGGGCGGTGCAGCTCTTCTCATCGAGGGCGGCGAGTACTGCCCCACCAGCGGGCCGACGGCACGGCGAGGCCCGAGGCGGCGTCGAAGGACGCGCCTGAGGGGCATGTCGTTTCTCGGGCAGCGGCGATAGCTGCGCCTGAGCAGGTCGCCGAAGGGCGAGACCTCGGTACGGAGTACCTCGGGAAGATGCTGGCTGAGGCCACCGTGGCAGAGCTCAAGGAGGAGCTCAGGTGGCGGAAGCTGCCAGTGGGCGGCTTGAAGGCGGACCTCATCGTCCGTCTGACGAGGGACGGCGGCCAGCACATGGCCAGCAGTGAGGGGCTGGCTGCAGCGGCATGGGCCGCGCGGCTGGTTCCAGGCAGGATGCCTATCCGAGCGTTCCGCTCGGATGCGAGTTTAGGCTCGCACCTAGGCGCGCTTCTCAGCAGCACGAGGTAGGTCCGTGCCGAATGCAAGACCCTTTGAGGGCCACCCAAGACGGGTGAGGGCGCGGCCAGAGGCCGCTCCTTTGAGCCGAGGGCGCACGTCAGGCGCAGGCGCGCGGAGCCACGGCGGGGACGCCCGCTTTGGCTTGAGCTTGAGCCTTCAGAAGGGAGGCTCGAGCCGCAGTACAGAGAAGATGCAAGGCGATGCGCTCGCCTGCATCTTGGAGGCGTGTTGACTGTACATGCTAATCTGTAGCCCCTTGGTCCAAGTAAAAACCATCGACATTTTCAGAGAATGTCCCGGATAATTGAAACCTCCAACGTCTCATAACCGTACTGTGGCGGACCGTGTGGTGAGGTCTTGGCGTTTCGCTGTCACCGCACGGTCTGTTACCGCACGGTTTGGGGACACCCGACTTCCCGCCTCTCATCCTCGTTTCTCTTCCAGGAGGGAGAGGGGAGCACTGGTTTTGCTTTGGGTCCCCTGCTTCAGGCAAGAGTCTGCTTGACTTGGGGACGGAATCAGCGTCAACACCAGCCTCTCGGAGAGCTAGCGCAATCTTTGGTGTCGGGTGCCAAGGGCAAGAAGATGCTGCTGCTGCTGCTTTTCACTTAGCGCCCCCCCCCCCTGCTGCACTACTGCAAGTCAGACGCTAACATCTGCAGGTATGGAAGCACGGAGGGAGCAACAACTGGCAAGCGGGTTAGGAGAATCGAAGAGGCATGGCGAGTGAAGCGAGGTGAGCGAACAGGAACGAGGACCAATACCGGCGAGTTGGTAGCAAATGGAATCAACTCAAATGTGTTCGCCTCCCCGCTTTCGAGGACGAAGCCCTCGTGGCACTCCCTGCAAACCTGCTCAAAAGTCTCGCAGCGCTTGCACCCTGGCACCGCGCAGACCCGGCAATATCCTCGGCGGGCTCTTCTTGTGTGAACAGAGGTCAGGCAATCACTAAATTTGGGAAGACCAGCGGGGATCCCGCAAATTGAGGCTTGCCTTTCGAACCCATCCAAATTGCCATCATGAGCCACAAGGGTCCGGAAAGAAACGGGTCCTGGACACCCTGGGGGCTCCCTGGCCTGGCTTCCGATCCAGAGTTCGCCTGGAGAGGCCGTCAGCTGCCCCCCCCCCCTTCCCCCCCCACCCCCCGAAAAACACACAAAGTTTTCCCACAGGACTAGATTGGCATGGCAACGTTGAGGAGGGGGTGATGGCTGGGAGAAGAGGTCGTTGGCATGGACTCGGCGGTACATCGCCGATGGGATTGGCGCCAGGCATCCGATAGTGAAACCGCCCGTTCCAGGGGATGGTGAGGGGCGGAACCCAGACCAGACATATTTTCGATGAGTCCAGAAAGGCCAACATGTCCATATCCATGCTCTAACGGTCTGGATATCGCATATCGAGGGGCGACCCCATGGATGCTCGATGCCATTGGATACACTCCGCGCGGGGGAATCCACGCAACGCCGCCCTGTATCCACTGAATCGGGGCCGAGCAGCCCTGACTGGGGGTACGGGACACGGATGTGCTCCCTGCCCATGAATGAAGGGTGGTTGGAGGTCGATGCTGCCCCCATGTCGCGGGCAATACCCTTATCCGTGCCTAATAGCCGACCCTACGCTTGATAAGAATGTCTGGGGTGGGTGTGCGGATGTAGCTTTTGACGTGGCGATGGGCCATGTGGGGGCTGCAGTGAGCAGTGGTGAGCACTGGTGAGCTGCAGGGGGCATCGGGGTGTGATGATGTTTATAGGCTGCCTGTCTTACGGCATATGCATGTGTAGCTATGTAGAGCTTGCCCTAAACCACTGCCGACTATCTATTTACAATGAATGAATACGTGTACGCACGTCCAATAAGTGTAATGTGACTTGTTCCGACGACTGGCAATTCGAACTTTATGGCATCGGCCAGTGCTACTAGATGTGCGCATATGGCTTACTACCCCTTTCATGCCAGGGATGCGTACTACTGTTATATTCTTCGTATGCATATAAATTTGCATTGAGACTTGTACTCCTCACACAACAACCGCGACACTCCATGGCTCATGGCGCAACCCACGGAACGGCGACATGACAACCCGCAAGACAGTCCGTGGAATAATCCACAGGGGAAAGACGGGAATAAACACATAACACCACACACGACAACCCACGGGACATCCACGAGACAACCCACGGGACAATCCACGAGATAACGCGCAAGACAACCTCGCGACAACCTGCCAACCCACGGGACAACCCGCGAGGCACCGTCCAACGGCACGTCGTCAACCCCAATGCAACCTCGACGACACGTACCGACACCGATTTCACGGCAGGGGTCCACTTCGTTCTCACCCCCCAAACAACGTTCCGCTTCTCGTGGACCTGGTCTCCGCGTTCGCGACCCCATGGATGCAAGGCGACCTTGCGCGGATGCCTCGCGCGGAACGTGTCCACGGGATCGGGTATTCATGTGATCGCGTTTCGGCATCCAGACAACGAGGCCATGGATATGGATACGGTCGTCGCTCGTGACACTGGGAATGCCCTCCCCCGTGATCGGCGCCCCTGAAGCACGGGACCTGCCCCTGGGGCTCACCCACGTACGGGAGCCCCTGCTCGTACCTGCTGGCTGGAAAGGGGGGGGGTCGAAGTCCAGGGGGCGGCCTGAATAACATGATACGCCACGAACAACTGCACACGGAAGCCAACCGATGTACATTTCCTGTGCCGTCAGGAGGGCTGGCGGTCTCTAAAATAGCTGGGCGCACAGTCGTAAATCAACCACTACCAGCCCCCTAAAGCCCAAGAGTAATCCATTCGAGAGAGCATGTGTGCATATCTAAATCTTTTCTACTACATCGCGCGCGCTTCGCGCTTCGTGCGCTCTCACATTCTAGCTAGACTGGATGGTTTAGCTCTAAGATGCCCCGATGTGTTGATATTTTCTTCCCCGGGACATCACAAAGGCATCTAGACGGCCACGGAACCCTTCAAAACAGCCTCGGATACACCAAAGAAGGTGCCGGAGAGGTCGGCGACGACCCGCTCAACATGGCCTTCACAAGGCTCAGGAGGCATCCGAAACGCCACAACAAAAAAAAACACGGCGTTCCCAAGGATCTACCGTGGTCGCCCTCGATAAGTTCAAACGGCCAAAACGGCCCACGCCTCCCCGAGACCACCCAAGAAAGCGTCAAAACTGCACCGGACGTATCCCAGACGGTTGAGGGAGACCTCGACATGGCCCAAGAAGTCCCGAGAATGGCCGAAAAGGGCCCGCAGGGGGCCCAAAGAGGGACAACCCGCACTGATATTTCGAGCCGTGGCCCAAGATGAACCACGAGACCGCCAACAGGCCTCCACCAGGTCCCTCAGATGCCCATAGTGGGCGCGGATGAGGCTCCAAGGAGGCGTTAAAAATGGCCGAGGGAGGCCCGCACGAACCTCAAGAATATTCGAACTGCTTCCAAAAAACCTCTGGCCCGCAACCCAGGCGCGGTCGCGGGATGGGCCTGGCGGCGATGTGAAAAGAAGGGGCACGGGCCGCGTTCCTGTTGCTTCAAATTGTCACAAAACCAATACAAGAAGGCTGACAGATAGCCCCGAATACTCCTAAATGGGACCAAGATGGCCCAAGAGGGTCGTCAAGATCGCGCCCAAAAGCCTGGCATGCTCGCCAGGGCCTCGCTTGAGGGCCGAGGTTACCGAGGCTGTTGAAACCGAAAACGCCACCCCCTAAACAAGTCCTTCGATTCCCCAATTCCCGCCTCCATGCATCCTCCTTCCTCCGACACGTCCGCTCAAAACGGGGGGAAAGACGAGACGGATGTGGAGCGGAAAACGGAGGAAGACGAAGAGCAGGACCGATATCGGGGGGAACGGGCAGCGAGGGATGGGGGGGACGGGACACAATCCTGGGGCAAACCATCGCCGGACACAGGAGTAAAGGGAGAGGGGGCCGAACCCTGGGGAACAAGTGTTGCATTGAATTCTGTTGTTTCCCCATGCGGCCTCAAAGCGCTTAGTGGGCAGAAAGCGGGGGCGGAGGGACGGATTCATACGAGGGAGGAAGGACAAGGACGCATCGGGGAAACGGGAGGAGGAGAGATGGACTAGGAAGGAGGGAGGGGGGAAAAAGGAGCCGCCGTCTCCTAGTTCGCCGCCATCTTGGATGGTTCGTGGGTGTATCCTGTGGGTTCTGTAGGCGTCTTGACAACCTTCTTGGAGCCGATGTGGGGCGCACCTCGGGGGCCTCTTGGGGTTTCTTGGGGGCCTCTTGGTGGGCTTTCGGCATTTGTGAATATATGTGGCCCTTCCGGTGCCTCCTGGGGGCTCTTCGGCGCCTCTTGCGAGCGTCTTTGGAGCCTTGTTGGTGCTTCTTCTTGCGACGTGGGAGTCTCTCGTGGCCTCATGGGGCCCCGTGTGTGCGCTTGGGGCGCCTGTTGGGGGCATCTTTGGGCGCCTTCGGGGTCGCGCGCAAGCATCGGAAGCGCACCAAAGGCGAAAATGCGAGAACTACCATTTTGTTATTCGAAACCGTGTTAAGCATAATCAAATTACTGGTTCCAACGGGTGTACTCTCGAACAACACCCTTCCAAACGTCGGGTCTGATTCCGGCTGTTTGACCCCACTGCAGGCGGCAACAGTATGTTTGAAAAGTCCTCTGGCCCAATGCGCCACGAGGTCAGCCTTTCCTCCTCTTCTCCAGGGGAGGCTTCGGAATAACGGAAGATGGTTGGAAAACTGCCTTGCGAACCAGGCGATCATTGCTCCTACGCGCGATCGCCGCAAGAAGAACGAGCTGCCGCTGCAGCACGAGGCTGCTGAATTTCACACGCATCGCCTGCTCGAGAACGGCTGCATTGGTAAGGCGGCTGTAATACGAGTGTGGAACCCCCAATATCTTTCAGAAGCAGCGGGCCTGGAAGCCGTCCAACTGGGCGCGCTCTGCGCCCTTCAGTCATGCAGTGCGCAGACTTTGCTCAGCACGCCCGCTTCACAGATACGATTTTCCGAGACACAGAAATTGCAGTGCGGGACCAGATGCGCGACAGCATGTCGAATTCCGCCCTGACAGAGTACGCTCCCAAAGTGCACGATGGTGTCCTTCTGACTGATCGGCGTGCCGTCGGGTTTTGTAACCTCGGCTGTGCACCTGACTGGAAGAACCTCCAACTTCTTCCAGGTGCACTTGAGCCCTTGACTTCCGCTGGCCATCTGGATCGGCTACAAGTATCAGACTGCGGTGTCCGCTGAAGTCGCAGCGATGAGCGTGACATCCGCGTAGATAACCCCCCCACTTCTGCTGCGCTTGGGCCAAGGTCTGCCCTTGCATCTGAAATCAAATGAAGGGGCCCAGGGACACACACACACACACATAAATACACACAAATAAAAAGATTCCCCATGGTTTCCCATATTTTCTGTGTTTTTTCCTTCCCGCCCACTTCCCATATTTCCCAACCATCCTGTGGTGTTGGGTCCTCGTTTTGAAGAGACGGTGCCCCGCGTTCCTCTCCTCCTCCTCCTCCTCCTCCTCGCCCTCTTCCCTCCAGGGTTCGCATGCCTCCCCACCACCCATGTCGGCACACCCCTCACACGTTTCGTGGCCCCATAGGGAGCTCCACCGAAGGCCCCAGTGGCAGGGTTCGCATGCCTCCCCACCACCCATTCGGCACACCCCTCACACGTTTCGTGGCCCCATAGGGAGCTCCACCGAAGGCCCCAGTGGCAGGGTTCGCATGCCTCCCCACCACCCATTTCGGCACACCCCTCACACGTTTCGTGGCCCCAGCTAGGGCACACCCCTCACACGTTTCGTGGCCCCATAGGGAGCTCCACCGAAGGCCCCAGTGGCAGGGTTCGCATGCATGCCTCCCCACCACCCATTTCGGCACACCCCTCACACGTTTCGTG